TGCCGTCCCCTGCCCCAGCCCCCCAGGGGTGGGCTGAGGCGGTTCAATCCTGCCCTCTCTCCCATGGCGGTGAGGCTACTCTACGGGGGCTCTCGAGGCCATCAGCCTCTCCCTTCAGGTTGCCTGGACTTTTGGGGATTAGGGATATGTTATGCTATAAACCCCTCCATTACATCTCCTCCTCACATTAGAAAGATGCAGTTCTCCTTTGACCTTGTACTAGAGGAGAAAGATACTTTCTCTTTTGACCTGTCTAGGATGTTCCACCCCACCAAGCACCTCAGCCAGCAGTTCTGGTGAATCTGGTGTTGGGCATCACCCACATGCTGCTTGCTCTGCTGGGAAACAATAGCAGGTCCCAGGTCTGCTCCGGGGTGCGAAACCCCGCGGGGGCATGGCACGCACTGCCCCTGCCCGGGTGCTGGCGTCATGGGCACCGCTGGCAGCCCCGCTGTCCCTGCGCTGTTCTGGCCATGCTTCTGGGGGCTGGGCCGTGGTCACTCGCTACTGCTGCTCTGCGTTCGGGCCTTTCACATTTCTCATGACCCCTTTGTATTTCCCACAGTCTTGCGCACTGACTTTTTTTTTGTTGGTTGGTTTTGGTTTTTTTTTAAACATTTTATTTTGGCTTCACTGCTACCGTTCAAGTGTGCAGTATTTTAAAATAGTCTTTCTTCTGGCCAGTTTTTTTCTCACAGCATCTGCTTTGTCCCTAAGCATTTTCCCCTGGGCCTGTAACCAGCTCTGATGTCCCTCAGCCTTCACACGTGTGAAGGCAACGTCTGTCTGAGCGCTGCCACAGCAGCAGGCTCACCTGGGCCTTGGTGGAGGACCCTCTGCCTAGCTTGAGGGGAGGCAAGGCACAGAAAATGCCATGCTTCCCAGTTTGTTAACCCCCTAAAATACTGTGTGAAGCCTGTGGAGCTGGTGGCTTCCACTAGCAGCACTGTGGGAATGTGACCTCCTGTCACAGGGGGAGATAACACTGTCAGCCTGCCACTTGACCTGCCTTGGAGCAAGAATTGCACAGAAACCCCCTCTCTGTCCCCACCCAGGCTGCAAAGACTGCAGTTTGAATCTGGACACCACCGGAAGAGCAACATTTAGGAGGAAGAAACAGTGCAGATCACCCCCGCTGTTAACTACTCACCACTGTGTAAACCAAGAGAGAACAGACCCTTTGGATTTCCTGTCACCGGGCAGCGAAAACAGCAGCTGTTTGTCTGTCTGCGCCTGATAAAACCCAAGGCACGGGAACTGCCTGGATGTACGTTTCTGGGATTAAACATCCAGATGAGGACATGTACTGGTGCTCTGTGTGTGCTCCTGTTTCCAACCCAGGATGAGCAGACTGGCACTGGGTCCATGCCCCAGCTCCTGCTGTGCACCCGTGGGGGCACACAGGGGCCGTAGCTGCTTGCTAGTGTGTGTGAACCCCGCTTGCACAGAAAGCACAGCACTATGTGCAATAGTTCAAGATTGCACCCCAGCTGCAGTTTGTCTGTCTATCTGTGGTGAATCACCGGTGGATATTTTGGGTAGCCTCCTCCAGGCTGTAGCAAAGGCTGACGCTCGCTGCCCGTGCAGTAATCGGGTGAAAAAGATTAGAGGAACAGGCTGTGTCAAGGGAAAGCCTGAGTGTGCCCTACATCTCACATCATTCTTGTTTTCTGACTTGGACAACAGGCTGGGGCCTTCAGTGAATCAGGGGGAATTGCTCTGAGGTGAAGGAGGCAATGTGGCCTCCAACAAATCAAAAGTCAGGGCATTTGGTACCCTCAGCACTACAGTCCCAGAGGGCTAACTGTAAGGTCACACACCTCTCCCAAACCTACAGAAGTCCTGTGGCCTCCCTTCCACTTTCTCTAAGAAGCTAAACTCCAATACCACCTAAAAGAGAGTTGAGGTCCCAATTTAAAAGTTTTGTGGACAGCAGTACTGCTGTGGTTGTGACCAGGAAAAAAAAAAAAAGTGTTTGCTTATTCTACCTGCTGCTTCTCTTGTTGGCTTGGCCCTTTGGACGGCAGCAAGTCGGGACATGGGTCTAGACGGAGGTTTTAGCGTTCCTTTTGTCTTTCCTTGCTGAGAGGAGGCAGAAAATTATCCCTGTCCTCCTCGGGTCCTGGGAGTAGGCAAAGTCTAAGCAGCAGATAAAATAGAACAAATTCCTCCCTGCAACTTACAAATCTGCAAACTTACTGGCATCAAACCACTTAGCCAAAAACACTCAGTGATGCCTTGGGACATTATGGTCATTTTAAGACTAGGTGGCTACAGATTAGATGGTGCTTGAGTAGCCTCGCTTGCTTTCTCCTGGCTTTCATCCAGCTTTTTGAAGGTGTATCCTTGCCAGAGGAGGGAGGTTCTGCAAAGTGGCAATCAAGAGACTGGAGTTACTGCAACTCTGTTGGGGTGGTGTGGGAACTGCCTTGTACACCAGGGCAGCAGAGTTTGTGTTCGCCATTGCATGACTTTGTGCAAATGACAAACTCAAATGTTACAGTAAATCACCTCATTGAAGAGGAACTTCAGAGTCCCAATCCTTTCTAGTCTGGAGGCTCGGACATGAAGTCACATTGCAAACTCATTCAGTGTCATATTGATAGTGACATAGTTTGTTGCTTACAAGAAATCTTACTGGGTCTAGTTCTCTCTTGGTGAGTCATTAGAAGGCAGAACGACAGTTAACTTGACCAAAGGAAAGCTCAGGATGCACAAGAAATACACATGTGCAGCATATTCACAGCTCATGTGAACACCAGACTCACACCAATACACAACATGGCAGCTTCATGCACAAATAACTAGGCTGGGCTTGGAGAGAGAACTCGTGATCACGAGGAAGAGAATAAAGGAGTGTGTTAGAAAGAGTGTCACAGAAGCTGGGAGGGTGGTCTGTATTTTCGGTCTTACCATAGAGGAAGAGCATTGGGTATGTTCAGCTGGCTTTAAAGAAAGGCAGACAGAAATAAGCTGTAATAAGTCTCCAATCAAAAGCCCTAGTAAACTAGGTCTTGGCTAACACAGGAGTAACAAAATGGTGGAAGAGGGCAAAAGGGAGTTTGAAAGAAATGCACAAGAGGCTGGGCTTATTCCCTAGGATGCCCAGGATCAAAGCTGGCCATGGCAGAGGTAGGTACAACTCCCATTGAATTTGATGTGAATTGCACTCCGTATCTCCTGAGTGCTAGACATCCTGGCATCCAGGCAGTGGAGGTACTGATATTGTTAAAATGTTTCTTGTATCACTACTATCAAGTTCAATACAGGGGCTGATTTAGCTCCCCAACTCAGATCCAGGCCATGTCTGCACAGGGACCAGCCAGCTTCTAGTGCATCAGTCTGGTTTGTAAACCCATAATATCCCAGTACTAAAGCAACACTTTCTATTTATATATCCCCATTCCCTTACACATAGTTCTGGGTGCTAACATTGTTCTTACTAAGACAAGGAGTTGGGAGAGTCTAATCACCTCTTGGCAACCCTACAACACCCACCGCTAGCTGTGCAAAGTGGGTTGGTAAAGCTGGTTAGCTTGCTGTACCTTCACCCACCTCACAGCAAAGCTCCAGGGACCCAATGGATGTGTCCTTAGAGGCCAAGCTGAGCTGAGCTGAGCCCTTGTCATGCCTGCAGGAGTCTAGTTTCTGCAAACATTCTGCTTGACATTCCTTGATTAACTTCTGGGGCCATTTCCAATAGTGAGAGCAATTCTAAAAAACACCCAAGGCTGCAAATACTCTTAGGTGTAAGAAGCAGAATTGAAAATTAAATAAAACCAGCTTTATCGGGAGTCCTTCAGTTCAATAGTAACATAATCCTTCAGGCCTAACATCTACCATATGCCACATATGCCAAACCTGTCTGTCATTACTTCCTGTGACTACACTAGCAAAGCCGAAACGGATTTATTTCTTCTTCTGCTAATAGCAGAATTTACCTCTAGTGCCATGGAGGACTCCTGCAGTGTGCTCCTGCTCTCCAAGGACACTGCAGTAACCAAACTGGCATTGTATTACCTAAAGAAAAGCTGTAGTTTGGATGCACACCCTATTTGGTGATATAGGCAAATGAGAACAATTAAAAGCCCCGAGGTACACCTAATCATATAATAGTCTTTTGGGTTAACTCATTGGTTTGGTAGTGTCAGCTTTCATTGCTTTTATTGTCCTCTTTCACATGTTTGCTCTTGTGTTTTCTTTTCAAATCATATACAGGCAAAAGTTGGCTTGAATACCAAATAAAGGAGTAGTGCCTGTAAAGACATTTCTTTTAGATCAGGTATAGATTTTGATTTTGTGTTGCTGGGCAAACATCTCCTTTCCAGCAAAGAGTTT